TTTTTTTTTTTTTTTTTTTTTTTTTTTTGTCCATTATTGTTATGGGTTCGTTCACATACTTTTTCATTTTCAATAACTCTTAAAAAAATGGATAAACTTAAAAACAGGATAAAGAATTCATTCTCTAACATCTCCATCTTTTACCATTTAAATGCTTTAAGAATATTGGAATTTTTAAAATCTTATTTTACTCAATTCTTTTTTAATAAAAAAAACAACTATTTTAGTCAACTTCTGTACCTATTATTCTAATTATAAAAAAACTTAAAAACCTTAAATACAGCTTCCATTTGTTTATTTTAATACTTTTACTTTTTCACTTGTACTTTTATAAAAGCAATAGGTCACTAGAACAAATCAAGAGATTAAAAACTTACTAGTGACCTATTAAACACCAACTAAAAGCTTAAAAATTTATCAAATACCTTTGAACATTAGTGACCAAAGAAATATAAATCTGAATGACTGAACAAGATAAATCTTTCCTGCAAGCAAACACATGGGTATTCACTACCCAGTCTCAGGTAAAGCACAGTAAATGAGAGAAAGAAATGGTCAATCCAAATAATTTGCTCATCTTCAAGGTCAAAACTACCTCCCAACGTGCCAATGCCTGGATTTTTCAAACAAAAAGGAAAAAGGAAAAACCCTGCTATATCTATACATGGAAAAATGTTATATCTTACAATCCCAAGTACAAAACTATTGAGGGTTCCCTCCATCCAACAAATTCGCCTTTTCTTTCTTATTTGCCACAAAATTCCATTTCCATCCACAACTCCTTCTCTTCATAATCTGGCATTTGTATCTGCTAATAGGCTCTTCAGCGTCTCATACGTCATGAAGCAAATGCCCACCCCAGGTACAACCTTATAGTATTCAGGTAGGATCCCTCGGTAGAAACCACTGAACCCTTCTGTCCTCAATATGTGCTTGAATACACCCAGAAGCCCTGTGGTATATACCCGAGCTCGCCCACCAGCTCCTTCCAACTGCTTTCGCCTCCTCACGAGATCCAAGGGGAAGGTCGCTGCAAATTATAGCAGGTAACATAATATAAACTGAGCTGTACAGTTAATCAGATAGAGATGACCTTCCATTTCACTTCACATGAAAGGATTAGACATCAGTAGGGGCAAACTGCTTCTTCACCAAATATCACACGACAGAGAAAAGCAGCTGGAAAGCACATTGGGGTATGCAAACATGAAAGCCACAGGTACTTAGAAATTCCCCAAGTTGTTGAAGGAACTACAATTCTAACTCACCCATCTTTAAACGTTTTAATACAAAACAAAAGGTTGAAAACTATTTTAATCTCTGTAGCTCAGTAGTTTTATAGTTTCGATATGTTCAATTTTAATTTTTATACTTCAAACAAACAGTCCTATGCACAGAGCACTAAACAAGAGTCAACCACGTTGGTTTAAATAGAAATCAAGCAAAATGCACAATGATGCTGCACGTTTGCATCAGCACTAAGTTTCCACAAGATAACTCAAGCACAGTCAGAACTGGTCTAGCCTCATACACATACTAATAGACCATGACAAAGTCCTCAAAGAGACACACGATGAACTACTGAGACTTCAAGGATTGACAGATCCATTTAACAAATGTAAAAGGGAGCCCAAGTGAGAAGCATACCTCAGATGGGGCACCTCTCACACCTGAAAATGATGTTCTAGTATATGTATATGATTAATAGTGCCAAGCTCCATTAATCCCCACCACAATGCTTGGGGAGACAGCTACTAAAACCAATCTTACGCAACATTTTTATGAGTGATAAAACAAAATTAAGTTGGTAATATGAATTTTTTTAATCAACTTCCTTACTAAAATTTTCATAATGCGAAACAAAATATAACTCCAGTCTGGTCTCTGTCTCTAGGGTCAGTCTGGTTAAATACTTTGGTGCAGAACCTGCACCACAGCCTGTTTCTCTGCATCAAAAGCATGGCAGACAGCGCTATGTATTAACCTCTTTTTTGCACTGACATTTTCTCCAACAAAACAATGAAAGCGGTTGAATTAAAACTTAATTAGTTCCAGAGTTATGACTAGCATCACAATTGTAGGTTAGTTGATGGTAATGCAGCACGTAAAAAGAAATATTAAAAATGAAGGGCAGGGATTTCCAGCGAGAAAAATTTTCAGATTCAAGAAACCACTTATATCCGTGAAATACTAAGATAGATACATTGCATATTTGAACCCCATAGAAATAGAATCTCTCTGAAAATTAACCCATCAGAGATCACTCACCTGTAGAGGATGCAATGCCTGATAGACTGCCACAGGTCAGGCTAACCAAAATCGTAGAATCATGAGGCCTGAAATATATTTAAAACAGTTTTTAGGACTACATGAGGAAGCACATGTAGACAACTCCAAACAGTTTGCATCAAATCCAACATTTATTCGATGAATTCATTTGAAAATCCTTACCTACGAGACTGCCAGAAAGACCTCAAGCTTTCATAAACTGAAAAACTGATAGCTATGTTGGGACCAACACCCTGCACCAAAAGACAGAATTAGTGAGCTATATTTTCAAAACATGGTTTGTGCTCCTAATATAACAACTCGGAAAGTAATAAAATGCATACCAGTATTGTCGCTCCAAGTCCCTTGTAAAGACCTAGAAAACCCTCATCTCTACAAATTGTTCCCAGAGTATGCCAAATACCTTTGTAATAGACCACTTTCGTCTACATACCAAAAATCTATAAAGTTGATGCAAAAACAAGTGCCAATGCTAACCATGGTTCAAAATTGTGTCAACCAACTGAAAAGACGCTTTAATAAAAGATGAATAAATCAAGAAAAACCCGAAAGGAATATACAAAGACCACCAATGCTATCCCAACTGAGCCTATCTAGTGTCTAATAAGACGAAATGGAAAGACCACTCACTGCCAAGCCTATGAATTTTAAGATCAGTCTAATAACCATCAAAATCACTTCCCAAGGTTAACCACCGAGGAAGTCAAGTTTTTTCCAATTTTTTGGATGAGAAAACAAGCTATAAAGCATAAATTAAAAGAATACAAAGAACCCATGGGCATACAGAAAACAGCCCACACCCAAGGAGCTAAACAACTAACATACAAGGCAGTCAAGTTAAGTAAAACAGTCAACTGTTTACAAGAAGTTGGCAACAACAAGATCTCACCTGAGCAGCAAGGCGAGTCCTTACAAGATCTAATGGATATGTAGTTGATGCTGCTGTAATTCCTGCCAAGCCACCACCCAGGAAGTGAACTAAAAGGTCTGCACTCATGCGATCCCTACGATGTTCAAGACCTGGGACCATGTGAAGTAACTACATAACATACAAGCAATCAATTAAGATCAAGGCAACTAAAAGTAAGAAATACAAAAATAAATTATCCCCAGATATAAAACTCTACGATGGTGTTTATTCATAAAATTTAAAAAAAAAAAATACAAAACCTTTTTGAAGTGTTCATATGCATAGAAATTAATCGAGGAATAAGGCAGACGATGAGCAATTGTAACAAGATTTCCTTTCCAGAAAGCTCTTATTCCTTCCTCATGAACAATTCGTGAAGCCTCATGCCATATACTGGCTTTCTTCAGCAATGCAGCATCAGAGTGCATCCCTTGCACCTGTGATGATAACAAGAAACATGACAGTTATAAATCCATCAATAACGAATGATATAGCAAAGGTCATACAAACTCATTATACATCACACAGGAAGTCTTCAGCCCAAAATACCAACAGAGACATGGAACATAGCAAAATTGACAGGCCAAATACCATTTTTTAAGAAATCAGGGCACAGGCACAATTAAGGACATGTTACTACAACATCCTGCCTTTTTATGTTTTTAATTTTAAATTTTTAATTATGATATTTGCATTAAAAAAATATTCTCATTTTCTTTTCTTAACATATCATTTCTTTAATAGTCTGAAATGTGTTGAAAGAGAAAAAATTTATAAAATATTTGACATTCTTTAAGAAAATGAAAAGAGACTAATGCTCAAAGATACAAACTTCATTGAGGAGTGAAACGAATAGGAAAGCAATCAAAAGAGATAAAGCATGCCAATTAAGATACATATCCTGTACAGAAAATTCAGCAAAAGTTTTTGAGAGACAACACCAAGAAGATGACTTTATATGTGCTGATTCATATCTGTCAGACCAAGAAAGATGTTGGCTTATGTAACAGCCCAAGCCCACCGCTAGCAAATATCGTCCTCTCTTTGAGTCTCCCTTCAAGGGCTTCCCCTCAAGGTTTTAAAATGTGTTAGTTAGGGAAAGCTTTCCACACCTTTATAAGGAATGTTTTGTTCCCTTTCCAACCAATGTGGGATCTCACAATGGTAAGAAAAATTCCTTATAAGGGTGTGGAAACCAATCGCTAGTAGACACGTTTTAAAATCTTGAGGGGAATCCCTTGAAGGAAAAACCCAAAGAGGGCAATATCGGTTAGTGGTGAGGCTTGGGCTGTTATAGCTTACTCCTCTCCAACCACAATTCTGAATAGCTTTAACAGCATTAACCCATAAGAGATTTGCCTTTGGATTCAATAAAGGGACCAATAAGTATTTGAGAAACATTTTCCTTTTGAAAACCCACCGGATGTTGAATATCAGAAAAATAAAAATAATAAAAATAAAAACCCGAAAACATGATCCTTGATCTCCTAATAAGAATCAAATTAAAATACTACAGCTTCTCAATCAACTTCCTGAATGGCGCCAAAGAAGAAGGAAATAATAAAGCATAAACTAAAGCACCTAAATATATAAAGAATTTGAAAATCAGATAGAAAATGGTCGATAATTCATATGCAAAAGAATTCAATAAATGCATTCAATTGTAATCATTCATTCCTATTCTCATCATAAAACATCATTGCTTGGAAATGAAATCTTCGACCTGTGTTACCAAAGTATATATTTCTCACCTTACTTGGTTATAATGCAAAAGTCGTCAATATTACTCCAGTATAGAACCCAAAAACTGTATTCCGAAGCTATCTAGCTTCAGGAAAACGTTTTGCGAAAGAGGGAAAAACTGGAGAGGGATAAAAAGAGAACAGTGATTATCCAGAATTTCCATTTCCAAAAGCCTAACTTCAAACCGAAAGTAACCCACGTTACAAAAAAAAGAGAACAGAGCAAACCAAGCCTACAACTGAAGCGTCGATAGGATAGCAATTAGGAAATTAAGTTCATCACTGACATTCACGAAGCAAAAGCAGCAAGATTAATAGATAGAGAACATAGTAAAGGAACCTGAAAGAGAATTGTAAGTCGTGCGAGTGGTGCTGTGCAGGTCTTACTAAAAGCACCAGCAACGCCTCCAGAGAGAAGCTGCGACACCGTCCCAATCTGCGATTGCTGAAGCGACTGTTGCTTTTTGGGAGCGAAATTTCTGGCACCTCCCTCGACAGAAACCACTCCTCCATGACCAGAGCTGAGAGCTCTCTGCCCTCCTTCCATCATCACACTAACCCTCGCCTCCGTTTGCATGTCAAATTAAACCTATCCTTCTTTACCCCTCTCCTCTCTTAACAAAAATCTCGAATCCGGTTAAGATCGTCAAAAGCAGAAATCAGGATTTGTAATCAAAGAACAGAAGCGAGAAAAATCAGAGTACTTGAACCACTACCAACAACTGGAAGTCGCAGACAGCGAATAAGAAAAAGAAAAAAAGAAAAAAAGAAAAAACTACCCCTGGTCTGTTCTAGGTTTTAAACCCCATTGCTTAAAAACTCTGCGTTAAATTGAAGGAAGAATCTACAGAGAAAGGAAGAAGATGAAGAAGGCGGTAGATACGACGTCGTTTATGTCCAGAATGAGAGTCCAAAACGAAATCGTTTTGGTCACCGACCTCATGATTCATTGAATTCCCCAATCCACTTTATTATTTCTGGTTGTAATAGTGTTAAAATACAATCGGGTGCAGTCGATATATGCTCTGCTTGGAATATGTGATTCCTTTGTTTTGGAATATTCTTGTAGGTGGTAACGGTGAGAAAGATAGCGTACGGGTGGAGCTCCATAAATTTTGTGTTCATCACATTAATAATTAAATAAACGAATTTCAATTTTCTTTGATTTATTTTTAAATATAATGCCTAAATTATCTTTCTTTTAATTAAAAAAAAAACTATTTGAAACTAGAAAGGATATAAAATGTTTTATTCTTCCACTTTCTAATTTTTTTTAATATCTTTTATCATTAGAATACAAGCTTAAAAAAGGCAACACAAGGTATAATCTCTCTCTTAATTAATTCCCATGCTATTGTATTTTCCACCCATAAAAACAATCTATTCTATTCTTAATTTCTTTTTTAATATATATATAATAAATGTTCCATGCAAAAAAAAAAAAAAAATTGAGACATGACCCTTTTATCGGACTGTTTTAAAGTACTTTTAAAAGTGAATATTATCTTCACGGTTATTTAACAATGTTTTGTCCTTGCTTACATTTTTTTATAAAAAAATTTAGGAAATCATCTAATATTAGATTGTTTCAAATTAAACACGTTTAACTTGAGAGTTCTAATAATTCAAAAATTGAAAAGCAAGAATTTTCTTTTTTGACGTTGGGTAAAACTAGTAACTATCAAATTTTAAGCCTTTTTTTAATTATTATATTTTCAAAATAGTTTGAATACAGATAGGATCGTTCTAACAATAATATAAATAGCCATATATATATATATATATATATATTAATTTCATTCATAATAATGATCTCGATTATGGATCTATGGTAATACAACTTGCATTAATTAAATTTAATTAAGGGGTCAACTCCCCAAAATAATAAATAATACTCAATCCGTAAATAATTAATGAATTAAATAACCAAGTTTTGGATTTTGAATCCATCGTGTTTTTTTTTTTGTTTTTTTTTATTTTTCTTCTCTCTTTATGTTTTTTAATCCCTTCACGAGCTACGTGCTTAATATATTATTATTAAGCTATCAACTTTGTAATAAAAAAAAAAAAGAAACCAAAGTTTGTATAAAAGGACCTTTAATCTTAGCCTAAGCTATCATATATATTTGTTTCTTTTATATGGCAATGGCAAGAAGAATTGTGTCTTCTCTAGTCTTCAACTTCATCTTCCTTAATCTTTTCAGTTGTCTGCTGGTTTCTAGCTCTCATTCAGACAGTGATGGTCGGAAGGTAAGACATATTCAGTTTGTTGTCGACTCCTTGAGATATATTTTTGTTGTGTTTTTTTTAATTTTGTCCTTTGTGTAGACTTATATTGTGTACATGGGGAGCAAACCAGAAGATACCAGTTCTACTCCTTTGCATCACAGGTCAATGTTGGAACAAGTTGTTGGTAGGTTCGTATCTACAATTTCAAAATTACAAATAGTTGTTCGATGATATAATGTATTAATAAGTTGAACTAGATTACTTAAATTTTGATATGTTGTTTTTTTAGCTCTTTCTCCCCGAAACATTTGCTTTATAGCTACAAGAGAAGCTTCAATGGATTTGCAGTGAGACTCACTAAAGAAGAAGCTCAAAAGATTGCTCGTATGTATTATTCAACTCAACGCATTTTAATTTGTCCCAGTTAGAGTATTATTATGAGTGATTTTATCTATTAGAAGATGTTTTAAAATAATTTTAGTTGTCAAATGTTATTTTTCAAATTACTAAGCTTAGAATTTGAAACATTATTTCAGTGAAGGAGGGTGTGGTTTCGGTGTTTCCAAATGAAAAGAAACATGTTCATACAACAAGATCATGGGATTTCATGGGTTTTACACATAATGTTCCTCGTGTAAACCAAGTTGAAAGCAATATAGTTGTCGGAGTACTAGACACCGGAATTTGGCCGGAGTCCCCCAGTTTCAACGACGAAGGTCTCGACCCTCCACCGAAAGAATGGAAGGGCACATGCCAGATCTCACCTGACTTTCAATGCAACAGGTGAATACCCAATTGAATTATAATATGAACTAATAATTGTTGAATTGAAAGTTATTAGTTTATAATTTTAATGGTTTTGAACATCAAAGCATAGATATTTTTTTTGTAGTCATTTTGTGATTTAGCCAAAGGGTAATTAGAAAATGGTTGTATGTAATAGAAAAATCATTGGAGCTCGAGCATATCGTAGCGAGAACCTTCCCAAAGGAGAAGTTCTAAACCCAAGAGATTCAAAAGGCCATGGCACACACACAGCGTCCATAGTGGCCGGCGGTCTGGTGAGAAAGGCAAGTCTATACGGTCTAGGCTTTGGCACGGCGAGGGGCGGGGTTCTTTTGATCCACAGAGAATCGACTGCAACCATTTTACAGAGTAACGCAGTGAAGGATGCCTCTGCTCCTTCTGTTGTCTCCTTCTCCTCCAGGGGGCCCAATCTTGTAACCCTCGACATCCTCAAGGTTAAATTTAGGTTGCTAATTTTTTTGTTGAATGAAAATTTGCAGCTTTTACCATGAATTCCAAACTCAATAAACAAGCAGAGTTTGCATATGGTGCAGGCCATGTCAACCCACTCAAGGCAATAAATCCAGGGTTGGTTTACAACGCAAGTGCAAGCGACTACATTGATATGTTGTGTGGCCAAGGTTACACCACTGCCATGGTTCGACTTATTACCCACGACAGCAGTGCTTGTACTTCCACCAACACTGGAAGAGTTTGGGATCTAAACTATCCTTCTTTTGCACTTTCCACAACTCCTTCAGAATCCACCAATCAATTCTTTACTAGAACTCTCACAAACGTTGAACTAAGAGCATCCATATATACTGCTACGGTTTTTGCCCCACCAGGCTTGAGGATCACAGTGGATCCTTCCGTTCTTTCATTCAATGGAATTGGAGAGACCAAATCTTTCAGGTTAACCGTTCAAGGAACGGTGAGCCAAGCCATAGTGTCGGCTTCTCTGGTTTGGAGTGATGGTATACATGATGTAAGAAGTCCTATTATAGTCTATGTTCTCAACAAACCTTAGTTCAATTGAACCTTGAGAAGAGATGTTGTTTCTAAAGTTGAAATGAATTTTCAAAATCGGGTATGAAATGAAACATATTATTACTAACCATGATTATTTAGAACTCAAAAGCATGGTAGTCTTAAAATTAAGACTTGGGTGCTAGTTCCTGCGCCTAGCTTTTGTAGCCCCATTGACCCAATAATATGGTGCCACTTGTCCTCACTTTTTTCACCTCTCTTTTTTGTCCTCCTCCTTTTTTCCATTTCCATTTAAACAATAACATTTTACACGTTTATATTCTAAAATTACGTGCTTTTTTCTATTTTTTTTAAAAACATAATCTTTGATATTATCACTTCGAGATATTTTTCTCCCATCATTATTTTAAATGGATTAGTTGAAAATAAATGAATTTAATTATACGAAAAAATATATCATAAAATAAAAAATTATTAAATAAAAGAAAAATTAGGTATTTTAAATTATGAAATGTATTTCTGAACTTATCATCTTTAATTAAACAGTATTGTGAGGATGAAAAAAGAAAAGAAAAAAAAAGATACATAAAAATTATAAAATAAAAAATAAATTAATTGTGAAACGGCCCTTTTTAAGTGTGGAACATTCTCACATTATAATTTTAAACTAGTAATTTTTAATTTAATTAAAAAAATAGTATGTTAAAATTGAAAATTGTGACACGTAGGATTAGCCACCACGTGAATGGATTCCAATCAATAATGGAAGTTTTGTCCTGTTAGAGAAGTAATTTTAAGACATACAATCCTCATTTTAAATTTTAAATTTATGTTAAAAAAAAAAACAATATAATTTTAAAAATAAGTGGTGGGATTAATTCCGTGTAGCTTTTGGTGACAGAGTACGATGTCGTGTGTTTCTTAAACAACTATTTCTCTGTAAAAACGTTTTTTAAATTCTGAATTTTTAGTTGGTTCGTCTTTTATCAAACAATACTCATCTTTTTAGTCTCATTAGAAATTTTTATTTACAGTTTAAAAAAATATTGCAAAAGTTTTAAAACTAAAAGTTGAATATGTGATGAAACAACCCTATTTCTAAAATAAAATACTAAAAAATAAAATGGTTATCTTTTCAAACATCCTAATTATTTTATTTATAACTACAATTTTTCTTTTTAAAATTCAACCATTAGAAACCAATCCTTTGACCTTGGAACCTTAGAAACCATAATTGATACTTCTATTCAACATATTAATTAAACTAAATTAATAAAAAAACATCTCCAAAATTTGCTTTTTTTAATAATATCTTTGTATTGAGAATTGTTGAGAGTGAGTTTCGCATTGGCCAATTAAGATGATGATTATAAGTTTACAAGTAAGGAATATATGTCCACTAGAATAAGATATTTTTTAAGAAAGAAAAGCTTATGAGATATTTTTTAAGAAAGAAAAGCTTATGCTCGAAGTAGACAATGCCATTCCATATTGAAGGGTCTCCATTCCCAATCCTTTAAACTTAAAAAAAAAATATATAAAAAATACTCTAAAGAGTTAGATTTGAATAATAATCCTTAGTCTTTAATCTTTCTATTAGTGGTTATATTTGGTGTTTTTTTAGTTTATTTTGAAAACTCAAACCAAATTTTAGAAGATAAAAAAATAGTTTTTGAAAATTTAGATTTTATTTTTAAGGATCCATTAAAAAAAATAAAAAAAATGTGAGAAAAAAACCCAGTTGAAAAAAAAAATTATCATCCTAAAATATTTATTCTTAAAAAAAAAATAAAAAATAAAAACTTAGTATATGATCACATGGTAGGTAGTCTCTATAAAAGGGCGTTCATGTTGTGGTTCTGAGAACATCATCACAAAAAACATCATGTGTTGTTTAGCTTTGAGGGTCGTGTTTCTCAACCTTCTTTGCACTTCGCTCATCTCTGCCTCTGCTTCCAATGGCGATGGAAGAAAGGTATAAGAACCAGTTTTGTTTTTCTTTTTTGTTTGTTGAAATATAAAGCTGACATTTTGTTTCTTCTTCTAAATCCTGGTAGATTTACATCGTGTACATGGGGAGCAAGCCGAAGGACTCATCTCAACCTCATTTGCACCATCGGGCAATGTTGGAAGAAGTGGTCGGAAGGTGGATATATAAATTTTATTATCCACAAAGCATTGTTATTAATTATATGTTCAACTTTTTCTGATTGTGTTTTTGGGATCAGTGCTTTCTCTGCAGAATCTATAGTGTATAGTTACAAAAGAAGTTTCAACGGATTTGCAGTCAAACTCACAGAAGAAGAAGCTCAAAGGATGGCTGGTACGTACCACCAATATAATGAACACCCTTTTCATTATTATTATTATTATTATTATTATTATTTGTTTGAAACTGATTGGGACATGTCATTTCAGCTAAGGAAGGTGTGGTGTCTGTGTTTCCAAGTAAAAATTACAAACTGCAAACCACAAGATCATGGGATTTCATAGGTTTTCCACGAGATGTTCCTCGAGTACCTCAACAGGAAAGCGACATCATTGTGGGAGTTCTTGACACCGGAATTTGGCCGGACAGTTTAAGTTTCCACGACCAGGGTCTTGGTGCTCCACCGCCCAAATGGAAGGGTATTTGTGAAGCCTCCGCCAACTTCCGTTGCAACAGGTAAACTTTTTATATATATATATATATATATATATATATTAAAAAAAAAAAAAAAACAAATAATGTTGTTTGATTGAAAAGAGTTGGAATGATTTAGAAAAATCATTGGAGCTCGAGCATACCGAGCAGAGGGTCCTCTGCCCCCTACTGAGGCTTGGGGACCCATCGATACAAACGGCCATGGGACGCACGTTGCATCGACGGTGGCTGGTCGTCTGGTGGATAATGCAAGCTTATACGGGTTTGGGCTGGGGTTGGCGAGAGGAGGGGTTCCCTCTGCCCGCATTGCTGTGTACAAAGTATGCTGGGAAAGAGGGTGCAGTGACGCTAATATTCTTGCGGCATTCGACGATGCAATAGCCGACGGTGTTGATATTTTATCTCTTTCAATTGGGGATCTAGTGAGGCCTTTCTTTGAGGATGGCATTGCCATTGGAGCTTACCAGGCCATGAGAAATGGAATACTGACCTCCAACGCCGCCGGCAATGGTGGTCCTAATAGGTATACCACTGGAAGTATGGCCCCATGGATGCTCTCTGTCGCTGCTAACACCATTGACAGGAACTTCGTATCACATGTACAACTTGGAAATGGAAATGTGTACCAGGTCCTCTCGCCTTCATTTCTTAATTACATTTAAATTTCGTTTTTACTCTGTTTTTCACTGTGCCATCAAGTTTATTATTATTTATATGGAAATGTGCAGGGAGTTGCAATCAACTTATTTGATCTTGGGGGAAAGCAATATCCGTTAGTTTATGCTGGAGATGTGCCCAATATCGCTGGAGGATTCAGTAGCAGCACCTCCAGGTAATCCCAAACTCACTATTTTGAGTTCGGTGAAGAAACAGAGTTTGAGACAGTGAATATATGAAACAGATTTTGTGGTGTGAACTCGGTGGATCGGAATTTGGTGAGGGGAAAAATTGTTTTGTGTGATTCTTCGGCTGTAAGTTTCCCTTCTCTAAATGGTGCAGTGGGCGTGGTGATGGAAAGCACCACCACGTGGCATTTGATTCGAACCTTTCCCTTGCCCGCTTCCCACTTCAACCCACCGAGCGGCAACCCAATTAGGCTCTATATCACTTCAAACCCGTACGTACTTTGAAGTTTCGCAAAACTATTGCTGTTTTTATTTCCACTTTTAGTGTTTTAAGGTCTAATGATTGATCTGTTGAGTTCCGTAGAGCTCCCACTGCCACCATTTTCAGGAGTGTGGATGTCAACCACACGAATGCTCCCGTTGCAGCTGACTTCTCCTCTAGGGGACCCAATGCCATATCCCCCAACATTCTCAAGGTCACTTAATTTGTGTTTCTATCGTCTTTTGTTCAACATTTCCTTAATTAACACATCATCTTATGTACTACTGTATGCAGCCGGATTTGAGTGCTCCTGGAGTTAATATTCTAGCTGCATGGCCTCAAAATGTGCCCATCTCTCCTGGAAATCCATTGTTGTCGCCTTATAATTTTGCGTCAGGCACATCCATGGCTTGTCCTCACGCCACTGCAATTGCTGCATACGTAAAAACCTTCAGTCCCTGGTGGTCGCCAGCTGCCATAAAGTCAGCTCTAATGACAACCGGTAATACTAATACCTAAACTCCAAACAAAAAATGGAAGATTGAAACCAAATATTGGTGTTTAAGCTTTGATAAAATTATTTTGTATCAATTCATTTTGTACAGCTTCTCCCATGGATGCCAGATTCAGCCAAGGAGCAGAGTTTGCATATGGTTCAGGCCAAATCAACCCACTCAAGGCAGTAAATCCAGGGTTGGTCTACAATGCGAGTGAAAGCGACTACGTGAAATACTTGTGTGGGATACCGGGCATCACCCGCGCCCAGCTCCAACAGATCACCGGTGAAGATATTATTTGTACTGACAGCAACACTGGACGTGACTTGGATCTAAACTATCCTTCTTTTGCTCTCTCTATGGGGCGTGGACAATCCCTCCGTGTATTCTTCCCAAGAACACTCACAAACGTTGAAGCTACAGTGTCCACATACAGAGCTACGGTTTATTCTCCTCCAGGACTCAACCTCCAATTCAAAGTGGATCCTCCTGCTTTGACATTCCATGGCATTGGAGATACCAAATCATTCACGCTGGGTGTTCAAGGATGGCTGTCCGCAACCGATCCCACAACAGTTTCTGCATCTTTGGTGTGGAGCAATGGTGTTCGTGAAGTTAGGAGCCCTATAGTATTGTTTTAATTCACCCAATAATAATCTTAAACCTTAGTTTGGGCCCCTGTTTGTTTTAAGTTCAAATAAAGGAAATGAAAAGTGTGGGGAGCTGGGACACTGTTCTTTGCTTCCTATCACTTTCATTTTGGCTTGTCTCTCATCCTCCTCTAAATTGTGT